CCGAAAAAAAAAATAAAAAGATAAAATTCTTTCGAACGCTATTCGTCAAATCTCTCCAAAAGAGTTTTATTCCGGCATTTTGCAATTTCACCGTTCCATCTCTCTCTCTCTCTCTCTCTCTCTCTCTCTCTCTCTCTCTCTCTCTCTCTCTCTCTCTCTCTCGTGAAAAATGAACGGAAAAAGAAGAACTTTCTCTTCTTTTGCCTTCAGTCCATGGTTCTTCTGTATCTTTGGTATCGACAGCAAGCAGTCTATACAGTTCAGCCGAGGAGAAACAGGCACACGAGCTGAGAAAATTACGACGGGAACTCGTAGACGCCCAAGAGAAGGTCCACTCGTTGACAAGCCAGTTATCGACCAACGTGAGTACATTATTGTGTGGATAGATTATCTTAGAGATAAAGTGAACTTGGTTGCTTAATGCGTTTTAAATCATACGTGTATATATATATATATATGTATATATTTATCGTAATTTGCGTATCCTTTTATTTATGACGTCATCGCGATACACACAATCGCCGCACAACACACATTCTCTATTCCGAGGCGAGATTAGTCGACTTATTCTCATTGTGGTAAGCGAATTGGTGCAAATGATTAAATCATAATTAATCGAACGAGACAACGGCCGGGGAGAACTTGCCAGTTGCGGTTTCCTTTAACGAGCTTAAGATCCGACCAAACCTGTTGCAAACAATATTTTCTTCGTAGAACGCGTATATATCGTTCTCATAATCGATCTGCTATATATTGATAAAGTTTATTACCGTTTTATCTCTCCCAGACGTATTTACGTCTTTGTGCAATGCGGAAAAATGATGGATAAATTATATACATGGACAAATTAAAGAGTTTCGAAAGAATGATTTCAAATTTACAGGTTATATGTATATATATATGTGTAAATAATCGAACAAACATAATTGATCGAACGTGTTACGAAACATTTTAATTTTTAGTATAACAAAAATAAAAGTAAAAATTTTTTTACACCGATTCCCCAATCGTTTCGAATTTACGTAATTTTCAAATGCAAATTAATGTAGACTCACTTACAATTTAAAGTGGAAGTTTTATAATGGAGTTAAAAATTGGGTTAATAGAAGCATCAATTGCCAGTTGATTAATTCTAATGGTTTCAAACGGTTTACGAAATAGACGAAAGGTTAGAAAGTAATTTCGAATTACCCGCGTTATTCTCCAGAAGAACGAAAGCGTCCTTACAGCTGAATGGCTGTTTAGCAGAGAAGATGAGTGGCCTCGACCAATCGGACGCAAAGCGGCCACTTACGGGCATCTTGGATCACCGTGGCGTGGATCGGTAGTCAGTTTACATTCAGTTTGTGCCGAGACGCGCTACACCGAACGTCGTACGTTGCTTCGTGCACGTTGCGCTTGCGGACAAAAGCTCGAGTGTTTTTTTCTTCGTTGAAAGTGGACGATCCGAAGGCCGTGGTTCGATGTTGTGCGACAAAGTGGAAGCGTATTGTTTACCCCGAAAAATTGGTTCGTGTTCTGTCAGTGATGAATCGGCGTCCCGATCGACGATTGGATCGATGTGCGTGAAACGTAATCTTCCAACGCGGCAAAGTGGTTGAAAGAGAAGTAATTGAAACGAAGTCGTTTGTCTGGTTTCATTTTTCGTCTTGTGCCGATCGCTTGTTGGCCAAATAAATATTTTATTTCGTCCTAAACTTTACTTCACGCGTATACTATACTATATATACGCTCGTGACACTTCCTTTCGTTTGTTTACCGTTTTAATCTTTATCTTCTCTGCATCGAAAAAAAAGCGAGATAAAAGAGGAGCTCGTATTATATAATAATGTTTTTCAAAAAATTATGTACAAGCTGTACGAATAACTTCTAATTTGTAGCTTGCTGTTTCCCTGAATACACATCTCGAGTGATCAATCCAATGTAATATATTATATATACGACGAGGATAGCCGGTAAAAACTCGTTAGGATAATTTGAAGTATGAATGCATCTCATAAACTCTCGAGACGAATCGACGAAGTACTAGTATCAGAATGTATATAACGTGATATATAATAATATGTTTAGATACAAATTACAAATTGCCCGATTTATTTCAACGCGATCTTGGCTATTATCATCTTTAACGAGCTATAATTGCGATATCGAAGTACATCGCGAATCGATCAATTTCCCACAACTAAACCACACTTGTTTGCACACAAATCTCTATTTTCCTTCGTTAGATTTATCAACTTACGGTTTTTGATTTCTCTATTTTACGCTATATTATAAGTTATAAGAACATCGATAAATTTAGATAAGAATTTTTTTTATTCCTTAACGCCGTTGGAATTAATAAAAAAAATTCGATAAACTAAATTAGTTCCTGTACCTTTTCAAGGTTTTATTAAGAAGATAAATTAATGTTGCGTAATTCAGAAACACGCGTTACATTAGATACATTGCTAGTTTTTCCTCCGCTCAAATCTTTTCGTAGCTATCTTATCTCGCTCTTAAATCCATCGTCTCTATACATCCACTTTTCTCTCTCCTGTATAGTATAGTATATTTTGACTTTTCGATCGATTAAGCGGAGTGGAAACTTAAACAAACATCTCTGTGAAATAACAAAAATATAGTATACGAAACGACGAGACGATGACGGAATATATCAGAATAATCTGAATTTACACTGAAAAGGGAGAAACAAATCGATTTTTGTTACCGAAAGTTCATTTGCCCTCGGACTCGTGTCTATATAAAACGTATTAGGCACAATAATCACGCGCGCTTAGAGGACGATGGAGACAAATGATTTACACTAACCTCTTTCCGCGCTCGACACGCCACAAAATCCTATCGAAGTCACGTTCGGAATACATACAAGGAAGAAAAAAGGAAAAAAGAAAGAAAAGAAAAGAAGAGGTGCGCTATCAGTGGATACGATTGAAGAACAGGTAGCAACCGTAATAGGGAAGCTCGCGTGGATAAATATAAAATTTTCGATGCAAAAGTCGAGCGGAGAGGAGAGAGTGCGCATATATGGTAGGAAAGAAGCGCGTCGGGGATCGTTCCTAGGAAACGAGGCATCTCCGACTCGAGTCGCGATCATTTTTGCGCTACTATACGCGACCAGTACATTCCCGTCGCGTATACACCTTGGTCCACTGTCATCCGTCCACTACCTTCTTCCCTCCTCTTTGTCTTTTTCTCGCGTTTCCGTTTGTGCGAGCATCGAGCGGTTCGTCACTCGTGCGACCGGTCGTCCAACGCGTCCAACACGGGAAACACACGGGAACTCCGCTATCTTCCCTTCCACCATCTCCATTTATAGTTATTCACGCCTTCTACGGCCCTTGTTATGTCGATCGCCCGGCGGATCCCCGCGATACGCTTTATTCGGCGACGTCGGTACACGTCGGTTGACAACCTAGCGGCCAACTATCGAACTTGATCGCTCTAATTACACTCTCCACGATTATTCGTTTGGACAGGTAGTTAAACTACGCTTTCGGCCGCGCTACTTCAACTCGAGCGAGTTGAGTAAACTTAGGTTAGGAATTCTAATTTGCCGCTAATATTTCGAATTGAAACTCGAGATATGTGTCAGTGTTTAGGAATCGGATAGCTCATCGAGAACGGTAATTGGAAGCAATTCTAGATATCTAAATACACGTAGCTTGGAATCTTAGGTCGAATGGTTTAGTGGGTGAACGATAACGGAAACGGTTGCGTCGAAATGATAATTTTTTGAATCTTATATATATATATATATATATATATATTTTAATGTTTGGTTATATATGCGTTATCGAATGATAGTGTTTCGTTCTATAAAACATTTCGCACAGGACCCAATTTCCAAAGGATATTTATGGAATATTTTTACAATTTTTTGAATTTTTTGTCGCGTTATTAGATCGCAAACGATATTCCTTCATTTTACTTCGAAATTAGACTCGGTCAAATGATATATACACGTGCACGATTTCGAAAGACTTTCACTCGTTTTGTTTATATGCATAACATTCTCCGTAATTTTGAATGAATCATTTCGAAGCAACGAGAAAGTTTCTTTTTCTTTTCTTCTCTTTTCTTTCTAGTATCCTCGTATATACTTCTATTATCTGTGAAATTTTTCATCTCGCGCGATGGATAAAAACTGTAGATTAAAAAAATATATATATATAAAGAAATATTGTTTATTATCTTCATAGACACGTGGGAAAATAATTAATTATATCGTTCACACGTTCAATGTTTCATCATTGACAGTTGTTTGCTCGTAATCAAAATTCCATTAGATGCTTTTAGCCGGAAGCCAGGCAACAGGTATTGGTAGTAAGACTTTCTAACCTCTCTCGATTCTAACCTCGTCGGAAATGCGTCATACGCACGATCGTCGATATTATATTCTTACGCAACTTATGTAAACAAAATTTGGACGGATCATCTATTTAAAAATTATTTCGATCGTTTTATATTTCCTTTTATGGACAGCAAGAAATAATTAATTTTTCGAAAAACTAAGGGATAAGATTTTTATCGTCGCAATAATTTACTGTCGTCGCGATAATTTAAAACGCAGATGGTAGAACTTAAACGAGTCATCGAACCGTAAAAATTTGTAGAAACGAATTTATGTGATTGTAAATTACGTTGACGCAAAAGTTTAAAGTTGACTAATGTCGAGTAAATAAGAATGTAATCGGTAGCAAGCTGACAGGATTAAACAGTGGACGCGATAAATTCGTCGATAAGATAGTTTTTCAGTTTATCGAGAAAGCTTTGGTAATAAAGTTTTTTGGTTGCTATCGTAAAATTACTTCACGCGAACTATTGTTCACGAAATGGTTCGACCGTTGGAAAAGGAACATTGTAACGAAAGGTTGTGTCGGGGTTGTGCATGATTCGTTTTCATTCTTTCCACACGTATATCTACGGCTGAAGATTTACGGCCTCTCGGTTGACCCTAGATTTTTACAATCTTGGGCTTGTATCGTACCACTCCCGCAAGAAAAGTATACTTATACTATTCTTCGAACAGCATTACTGGCTTCGTCTTAACATTTTTCATCGCTCGTAAATCGAGCACCGTTTTTCGACGTCGCAGCAACACATTTTTAAAATATCGATCCCAAACAATGACAACGATGTTCGAAATATCCGTTAAATTTTTTTCTTTTTCTTTTTTTTCGAATTTTTTCCTGTTTTTACTTTTCACAGAAATTCCATCGTCAAGAGGAATATGTTGCACGTTTGTTACACGCGAGATAGAGAAACGCAAGGATTGTATCAAGGGCAGGCTAGAATCAAAAGAGATTTTTGTTTTCCACTCGTATAAAGCTCACATTTTCCCGCGTTGATGCCAATGGAA